GAAACGGTTGATGGAGACCTCTTTCGCAACAAGCATTGATTTGGGAAACTAAGATTGGTGGGAAAACATCTTTCATGAACTCGAAACAAATTGCATGAGGTGTAGGTTCACGACATGCAAACAGCCATGGAAAGCTGAGCCTTTAAAAAATAAAAATGCCTGCCTAACTTGAACCACCCTTGCCCCTCTCTCGTCCCCTCTTTCCCCTCCCCTCTCTCCCCCTCCTCTTCGTTCTTTCCTTCTTCCTCTTACTTCTCTAACCTCTTCGTCTGCTTCTTTGTTTCTCTCCTCTTTTCTCTCCTCTTCGTCCTCTCCTTCTCTGTCTCTCTCTGTCTCTCTCTGTCTCTCTCTTTCTCCCCTTTATCTTTTTCCAGTCTCTTTCTATGCTCAAATATGGACAAATGTTTTTACGAGCGCAAAAACACTTTTGCGCAGAGCGGTTTTTGCACACAGAGGCTTTTGCTTGCCCATACAGCGCCTGTACCCGCAGATGCAAAAGCATGTTTCATCGCTAGATGACTCGTCCAAACCATTTTTTTGGGCATTGAATACAAAGGAACTCTCAGCATGGGGGCCGGCGGAATATGCCAACGGCCGGGAGCTGCATATCAAAAAACAAAAGCACACATCTGAAAAAAGAAGTTTCTATATTTATGCAAAAAAGCATACTTCGTATACATGTACATATGACTGCCCAGACAAAACAATCCCAATGGTATTTCGCGCGAACATATGCGAACAAATGCGCGCGAAAACAAATATAAGATACTGAGGGGCAGACAATCAGAAGCATATGTGAACTCAACTCCCTGTTGCTCCCACGCATTCACCCAAGGCTGCAGTCCTGCAGCAAGCAAGGCAAGGAGGGGCAACAGGGTGCCTTCAAACCATTCATAACGCCTGTCCTGAAGCAGCAAAGAAGTCAGACCCGCACTCCAAGTACTGGCGCTGATGGAATGTAACCTTCATCGCTTCACCTTTGAACCTCGCTCCTGTCTAGGCGGCCAAAATGGCTTTCGATCGCATCCACATGTCATAGCGGGAGCATCCCAAAGCATGTCCAAAGCAGTGAGCGGACAGCACTTGCGAAAGGTTGAAAAATGTTGAACAGGTTGCCCAGAACTGAGTAATCGATCACCCAGCCACACGGACATAGTCCAAGATGTTGACAGGTTTCTTCTATGGGGCATTTGGAAATTATGGATATGTTTTTTAG